GGTGCCATAGGGGTTCAGCCCCAGAAAACCGCCCTTTCCACTTCAGCCACCAATCATAAGTCCTAAGTTGTCAACTGTACTTCTGATAGGCCACCTACAAATTGGAGGTTCCCACAACCTCCCCCTTGAGTTCAATTAATTTGCTAGTATGACTTAACAGAATTTAGGAAAACAGCTTACTGACTAGATTTCAGGTTTATCATAAATGGATACAACTCAGGAACAGACAGATGGAATAGATGTATATATTGCCACAGGGCAAGACATGTGGGAAGGGGCATGGAGTTTCTGTGCCCTCTTCAGATATGCACCACCTCCTAGTACCTCCATGTGTTCACCAATCCAAACACTCTCCAAACCCCTTCCATTAGGATTTTTTGTGAAGGCTTCATTATGTAGGCAGGATTGATTAAATCACTGGCTGTTAGTGATTGGCTCAACCTCCACCACTCTTCCCTCCCTGGTGGAAGTTAGGTATAGGCTCAAAGTTCCATTCCTCTAATCACAAGGTTGTTTCCCCAAACAATCAACTACCATCAGAAGACTCCACAACACCCTGCCCCCAGCCATCTCATTAGCACACCAAAACCCACTTATCACTTTACGGAGATTCCAAGGGTTTTAGGAGCTGTGTGATACAAAATGAGGCCAGAGAACAAATACATATTTCTTATTATGTCACATCTGCCCACTCCTTCCACCTCTAACCTCACCTCTAACTACTTTCCTTTTACTTCTCCATCAGCTACACTGGCCTCCTTGTTATTTCTAACACAACATGCAAACTCCTTCTTCTCTGAAGCCTATGCACACTGGCTATTCCTCTGCCTGGAATACACTTTCCCTTGATACCCACAAGACTTCTTCCTGGCTCCCTTAATTGTTTTGCTCAAAAATTACCTTCCAAATGAGGCCTGTACTTATATAAAATTGCAACCCACCACAATCTATATTCTATATCCCCAACTCCCCTTACCCTGCTCTACTTTTTCTCCTTGGCATTCTTCCCCATTTGATATACTATATAACTGACTTATGTTCATTACGTACTTTGCATATCCCTTTGTAAAGATTTATACTGTGTTGCTGTAGAGGGAAAACAGTAACTAAGGCAATGGGAAGGTGATGATCTGTGTTCTGGTACCTTGAGTGTAAGGACAGTAGAGGGAGTACAGTGTAACTGCACAGAGTACAGTGGTAACACAAAGATGAGGTAATCTGCTGTCCCTTACTGGATCATGGGTGTGGTGTGCTGTGGGTGACTGGAGAGTTGAAAGGGGAATGGGAAGAGAAGAGCAGCAGAATCTTGCAAAGGCAAAAATATAAGAAAAATGACTATTTTGTCTTTGGAAACTCAATGCAGTTAGGGAAGTATTGAGAATAGCCAGAGATGAGGTTTAGAAAAGGAAGAATTCATATTTCTGAGTACTTTAACATGGCCTTATTAATTTTTTAATCTCAAGGGCCTAGCATACAACAATAGGTCAGTGTTAACTGAATAAATTTCTAACTCAAAAAAGCACAAAAAATAAGTTAAAAACTTCCAAATTCCAAAGGAAAAAAATTATTTCTTCAGACTGCTTTTTATAGGTATTTACAAAACAGAAGACTAATTATTTCCAAATTAATTCAAAAATACCATGAAAACAAAGATTACTGATTTTATTCACTAAAGCAACTAACATTGAAATACGCTTTATGTTGCTGTAATATTTTCTGATGAATTACAAATATGAATACATGTAGCAAATTTCCTAAGGTAACACATGTTAAAACCCAGATGCAATGGTTCGTAGCATTTTTGTGTCATGGTGTGCCATGGACACCTGTGGTGGCCTAGTAAAACCTACAGACTCCTCAGAATAATATTTGAAAATACATAAAATTCATAGGATTAAAATAAGGAAGGAAGGTAGGAAGGAAGGGAGGGAGGAAGAAAAGATGAAATCATAAGATCACAAAGAAAGCTAATTGCACTAAAATTCAGTTCTAACTGTAGACCACAGTTCTAATCACAGACCCCTAGTTTAAGAACTCCTGATGGAGGATATGGGTTAACTTAGAAAAGCAAAGAATAAATACTATTTGCCTAAATATTCTGTATGTAGTTTCCGATTATTTTTTAAAAAAAGATTCATAGTAGCTTTCCAAGAATTATTTAAGGTACTTAAAGTTTAACCTCTGAAGATTTTTATCTATGGTAGAACAGGTTGCATCTGTTTCTTGTTTACTATTTTGTGTATACACTGTGAGGCAGAATTTTCTAAAATCATTACATCTGTACAAAATTAGTAACAATATATTAACACCACATTTGTATCATCACTAATTTCTAGATCTCTCCAAAAATGACCCAAATTAGCACACTTCCTCCCTTAATCCAAAAGTGCATGATTTCACAATCTTTTGGGCCCAGCATGCCTAGAATACACTGTTCAAAATACTTTCAGATGCAATGTATGAACTATTTTGCTGTAGGTTGTCTTTGAGTTCTGCAATTAAGAAATACCTTTTTAACAATAGCCAAGATATGGAAGCAACCTAAGTGTCTATCAGTAGATGAATGGATAAAGAAGATGTGGTACATATACACAATGGAATACTATTCAGCTGTAAGAAAGAAACAAATCCTACCATTTGCAACAACGTGGATGGAGCTGGAGGGCATTATGTTCAGTGAAATAAGCCAGGCGGAGAAAGACAAGTGCCAAATTATTTCCCTCATTTGCGGAATATAACAACGAAGCAAAACTGAAGGAACAAAATAGTAGCAGACTCAGAGACTCCAAGAAGGAACTACTGGTTACCAAAGGGGAGGGGTGGGGGAGAGGGGTGGGGAGGGAGGGAGAAGAGGATAGAGGGGTATGTTTAGTAGACATGGTATGGGGGATCACGGGGAAAACACTGTAGCAGAGAAGGCAAACAGTGAATCTGTGGCATCTTAGTACACTGATGGACAGTGCCTGCATTGGGGTATGGGTGGGGACTTGATAATATGGGTAAATGTAGTAACCACATTGTTTTTTCATGTGAAACCTTCATAAGAGTGTATATCAATAATACCTTAATAAAAAATTTTTGAAAAAACCTTTTAAAGCTGTTAACAAGATCTGCTAAGAATTTTAGAAATTAAACATCTTTGTAAGACAGCTTTACCACTTTACAGATTTCAAACATGTTTTTGGAAAATTACAGGGTAAAGCAACATCCTCTGTAGAAGGTAGGTGACTGAATTCCAAAAAGAACCAGCAGGGTAAATAACTCTGATTTTGACTTTTAAATGTGTACATCACCTTAAAATAGAATTTGCATTTTTTAACTGTCTTGCCAAAACAAACCTGTAAACCATGATTCCAAAATTGTTTCCCTTGATACTATACAGTTTAAAACATTTATTTGACACTAAATAATAGAAAAGAATCTTGAATCACAGTACATACTAGCTTGGTAAGACCTTTGTGATTTTTTTTTAGAAAAAGAGTAAACTGGGTGTCCCTTCGCCATTTAAAAAAGTCTATCTTTTTTTTAACTGCTTTTTGCAGCTTCTAGAGAAAATAATGGTAATGCATTTACTATTACTGTTAACTTCCATGAAGAATATATAATCTACACACATTTATAAAAAGATTTTTGTAATTAATAGGGAAAAAGGTCTTTTCTTGGTTGCTTACTTTTTTACACTGTAGGAAAAAATACACATAATTACCAGTGCGTTTAATTTATGAACAAATCTAAGTAAATCCCTTTCATGATTTATTATCAGTAATCATAAACCTAGACAAATTGTCCAAAGAACTTATTTTAAAAGGTGATAAAATGTAAAATAAAAACCTTGATTTTTCAGACTGTATTGAACTCTTACCTACAGTGAGTTTGTCTATTTGGAATTTTATGGTAATAGCAGATAAATCACATATTACTTTTGCAAAAACAATTTTTTTCTTTAATTTTCTTTAACAGGAAGAAGGACATTTGCCTAGACCATAATCATAGAACAGAACAGAAAACTTAGAAAAGTATCAATTTAGCTCCAAGTTCATTTCAGAGTATGTGTCTGCACTTGTACTTCTTTCAAATACTGAGAATTAGAAATGCTTTTCTTTAAAGAACAGAACTAAAAGCGAATGAGACCCTAAAGAACTTCCTAATGAACTGTTATACATCCCTCAAAAACAGCCCTGGAAATTCTTTCAATATATATTCTTTTTCAGATATGGGGCCATTTGGCAAACCCTCCTGACTAACAAAGCCTTGCAGTACATTTTTCAAGCATTAATCAGGCTTTGCATTGATAAAACCTTGTAGCGGGATAACAAAACCTCAGAACACGCTCTGACTGCAAGCTTTAGAAACCCTCCCTGTTACACCTGTGCAAGTACTTCCTGTTCTCCAACGAGGTTTAAAAGTTGTTTGGTAACCGTCCCACAAAATGTCCATTTAGAAGCTAAACAGTAACTTTAGAAATTACTACTACCACCCAGAAATCACCAGCCCAAAGACTCCAGAATCCTGAAGTCTCCTTCAAGGGGGCAACATATTCACCTGAACCCGCTTAAAAAACTGTGGCTCGGGAGAGGCAGTGGCTCAAGTGAAGGGCAGGCGCCACATAAGCGTAATATTTATAATCCCAATGCACTGAGCGACCCGGCAAGACTCCAGATTCTGTCCCTCGTCCGCCCTCAGACACAGCAGCAATTCACCACCACAACCCGGCGAAGCACAGCACCTCCGCCCACCTCGCGCGCGCCTCCAGCTCGGCCACAGGCATCTCGGCGGGGCCGGAACGCGGCGGGTGGCAAGGAGGCGGGAGGGCTGCGTGACCTCGGGCGCGTGAACCCGGGCAAACGCCGGGGATGGCCCAGGGGAGCTGGGGTGGAAGGAGTGGCGGGGCTGCGAGGAAGGAGACGGGGTCTGGGGTAGGAACGACAACCTCCCAGTCAGGCCGTGTGGGGGCTGCAGGTCGTTGTATCTCCATCCAGGCACTAGTTTCGGAGACTTACCTTGAGCTCTGTGCTCCTAGCAAGAGGAGCGTGCGGTCCAGGTAGAGAAATACGGGTCTTCCACTCACACAGGGTTACCTCCTTCGCCCAGCTCCGCCTCACGCCGACACCAAGCTGACACCACCACCAACTGCCACCGTAATTGAGGCTCACCGGGAACTGGAGCTGAGGCAGCTGGTCTCCGCCGCCCAGAGCTAGACCCTGCGCAAGGAGCATGCGCACACGGTCCGCCACCCCAGGGCCAGTGGAGCCAGTGACACCTGCGATCAACAGGTCCCGGGAGCCCCGCCCCCTCTCCGCCTCGTGCTCTCCCCCTCCTCGGAGCTGGCCCCGCCTTCACGCTCACCAAGCTGACTCCGCCCCCGCCCGAGATTTCCCGGCTTTCCGGACCTTCCTAACTGTATTCCCGCGGGGATTCGATGGGGCGCGCGACCCAGTTGACTTACTCTGAGGCGCGAGATCCCGCGAGAGCCAGATCTTGACGATTTCCCTCAAAGAGGGAGCTTAGCGCTGGAGCTTTGCTGTTGGAGGAAGGTGGTTGCAGGCTACGTTGTTTGGCGTACGGAATAGGAGACTACTTCCTCAGGTGGAGGTGATTATGTCAGAGCCCTTCTTTTATTCGGTATTTTCTAAGGTCAGGAACGCGGATCCACCAAAGCTTGGGCTTTAGTTTGGGTGTTGTTACCTGAGAAAACAAGCTGTACTGCCTAGTATCAAAATCCCATGAAAGCACGCAGTTGCCCTTAACTTCCTGTGAATCATGGTCTGTTTGCAGTTAAATGGCTTCCACTGGCATGAATGTGTATGCCCCAACTGGTTGTTTCGTGACTATTAAATGTGGGTTCGGTTAATTGTGGTAAGAAAAACTTGGCCGTCTTTTTACCGTGCTTTTGAACAGGTTTTAAGGTGCAAGCCAACGCTTGTGAAAAACCCACTGAGATCTTTATTATCAAAGATCTCTCACAATAAGTAGTAAATAAGGTATACTAAAGGTTATGAAAGTCGATTTATTTCAGTTTGTAGGTAACTCTGAAAGTTTATTTGAAAGAGGATGAAACATCCTAGGTTGATAAGGTCAAAGAGTGCTTGAGACTGAACCGATGAGAATCAATGAATTACACATTGAAGGAAATACAATGAAATTTAAGGGGCGGTTCCTGCCTTCGAGAAATTGAAAACTTTTTGAAGAGAAGGAAAAAACCCTCTAAAAAATAGTAACACCAATAACTCTCTCCTTCGGGTTCCCCAGAGCCACTTTCTCCTAGTACTGCAGCTACCTCCTCTCTGGTACACCTAAAATAGTTTTTCTTCCGTTGTGTGACTTATGTGTTCCCAAGCTGTCTACTTTCCTTTGTTTAACTTTTATTCCTCTTGTCTCCTTGAGCAACCTCTTTCCTATCATGGACTTTACCCAACAGGTGTCCCGTGCACACAAGACATCCAGATATATATCTGGAGTTAGTCCCAGGTTAGATCCTTTTAAGCAATAGCATCTTCATCTGGGTTTCACCCAAGTACCTTAAGTATGTCCCAAAGTGGCATTGGCATCTTTATCGTTCCCTACTTCTGAGACCATGTCTCTCCCCACCCACCTGGAACCTAGCCCTTTTTCATTCATTTTTTATTAAGGTATCACTGATACACGCTTATGAAGGTTTCACATGAAAACCTTGTGGTTACTACATTCACCCACATTATCAAGTCCTCCCCATACCCCATTGGAGTCATTGTCCATCAGTGTAGTAAGATGCCACAGCGTCACTACTTGTCTTCTCTGTGCTGCATGGTCTTCCCCATGATCCCCGCCACACACACCATGTGTACCAATCATAATACCCCTGAATCCCCTTCTCCCTCCCTCCCCACCCACTCTCTATCAACCCCTCCCCTTTGGTAACCGCTAGTCCCTTCTTGGAGTAAGTCTGCTGCTGTTTTGTTCCTTCAGTTTTCCAGCCTTCTTTTTAATCTCCACACTCACTGTTTCAGTCCATCAAATAATCATCTCTCCTGACTCACGTCCTGTGAATTATTGCAATGGCCTGTAATTCCCACTCCAGTCCAACCTTTGTTCTATTTCTAACATTTTCTAACATGAAAATAAGATCACACTATTCCTCTGCCAAGATTTTTTCCCTTTCGCCAGTAGAAAGGGAAAATTCATGGTCTGGCCCCAGACTGTTAACTTCATCTACCATCCTTGCGCATTTACTCCACACTAGCCATACTGAACTCCTTGCTATTCTGTGAGTCTACTAGGTTCTCTCAAGATCCTTCAAGTCTCAGCTGAATATTTAATCTCTTCCAGGGAACCTTTCATAACTTTCTAAGACTGATTTGCCCTTCCTTCATCCTTTTTGGACTTACTTCTATTATAATAATTATATTGCAAATGTAACTGACATAATAATCCCCACTCCACTCTTGAAAATTAATCTGAACAGTAGATAATAAAGACTCATACTATCTTCCCTTCTTCATTTGGAGATGACAGAAGATGCCCTTCTATTAACTTTGCTCAAAAATTTGACTAAACCCTAACTGCATGTTTTTATGATCACGTAATTCCAAACATTCTACCAGTTCTTTGCTTATCCAAGCATTGCATTACAAGTGATACACTTGTAATAGATCATGAAGCATCAAGAGAGCAGTATGAAGCAAACAGGTGCAAAAAATGTAACTTGACATTGCACTGCATTTTAGGACAGGAGCTACTCCCAGAAAACTTTGTAGTTAGGAATGTCAACATAGGTTGACATTCATATGTTTTAAATGTACTGCCTCTGAGAATTACTGTTTGACCTTGAGGGATATGTGTGTGTATTTGATTCAGTATTTATTGGATGGGTACAAATTTAAGAGACTTCACCTTGGCATGAGATCACACAAGGGAACAGACTTGCAGTGTCAAAGACCACCATGTATTGTTCAGCTGAGGCCTAGCCAAAGTTCACACCATCAGCACCACCACATTTATATGCCTCTTGCTATTATTCTAGAATGATTATATCTCAGACTTTGGGAAATGTACTATCTTGTGGTGAAATTATTCTTATCAACGATGAGTGGTAGGGGTAGCAGTAGTCTATCCTGAGGAGCTGTGGTCCAGGAGTTCCAGGTAATCAACAGCTAAAGGTGTGGCAAACCATGACAGAACTGGGTGGAGTAAAGTGAAATACAGCATAGAGAAGTGGTAGCTAAATGGCTGACTCAGGATTAGATACCAAACTCCTTTTTTCCAAAATTCATTAAGGAAATGATGGGGGCTGACAAGTGTTATTTCCTCTAATTAAGTCCCTAGAGAGCAAGGACCATATTTTTTTCATTGCTGTATTTCTAGGGCATAGCCCAGTGCCTGGCACAGATGCTTAACAAATATGTGTTCAGTGGATGGAGTACAAAGTTGTAAGTTTTGTTGATATTTTTGTAGAGAATAGAGACATCTGTATGGACCAAATTCTGTGCGAGATCCAGTGTGAGTTTCAGCTTGAAGGTTCAGATGTAAATGTATTTGAAGGCATTGAGGAAGAAACAGGACTACTTCGAGAGCAGTTTTAGAAACAAATGAACAAGGCTAATGCAGGGCTAAAATATTAAGTCTTTTTAAGTTCTTTAACAGGATGGTTTGTTCAGAGTAAGATACAGAAGATTTGTAAGGGAAATTTTAGCTAGTTAAGAACATGAACTAAACCAGTGCAATTCCAGAAACATCTTATGCTGTATACTTAATAATGAGGTCAACCAGAAAAATCTAGCTCTGGTCAACCATGCCTTCCTTAACACAATTGCATCCTCTCGTGGCTTTCTTCCAACTGCATTGGCTGCTTCCTTTTCAATCTACTTTCTTTGTATACTTTTCAATTAACTTTTATCTTTTTAAATGATGATGTGCCTCAGTGACTGGTCAGGAGATCTTATGTATCCTCATGGTTTTAAATCCATTTTCCATACGGCAACCAAAGTAGTCTATATAAAATGTAGGCATCTCTCTCACCAACTTTAATTTGTTCGGTGATTTACTGTATATAGAATAAAATCCAAATTCATGCCAAAGCCTATAGACCCTTGAATGATCTGTCCTCATGTCCCTAATAACATTTCATGCCTATTCAAGATTTTTCATTCTTTATTCCCTGTGCCTAGAACAGTAGTTTTCAACTGGGGGTAATTTTGTCTCCTAGGCATTTGGCAATGGCCAGAGACATTTCTGGTTGTCTCAGTGGGGTGAGGTGCGGGTGCTACTATTGGAAACCCACTGAGTTGAGGCCAGGGATGTTGCCAAAGCAAAATGTTGTCAATAGTGCCATGGCTGAGAAATCCTGACCTAGGATACTCTTCCCCTGGGCTTCTAAGTGCCTGACTCCTTGTCTCTATACTTGATTTTTAACTTCATCGTCTTAGAAAAGCCACCCTTGACTTAGAACTCCCTGCATATCTCTATCACAGGGTACTGTTCATTCACTTCATATCATTTATCAAAACTTGTGATTATTTAGCTTATTTAGTTGCTTGTTTATTTTCTTACTATGTAGGAAGAAAATTACATGGAGGGTCTGTCTGTTAATCATCATTCTACCTGTAAAGTCTTATATGGTGGCACAAAGTGGGCATCAATAAAAAGTTGTTCAACACCTGAACTAGTATCTATAATAAGTCACTGAATGGAAACTTAACAAAAGGACTTTATTGTATATTCCTTTTATTTTTCTTTCCTATAAAATGGAAATTCACAGTTCCAAAGAGAACAGAGTGAAGTTGTCATTACTGTAAAGAAGCTGTGATGACTAACTGTCTTTTGGAAGGCCACTGGTCTGCTCAGATGCACTCCACAAATACCCTTTTATCTGAGTAGCTTCTCACAGTCAGAACCTGGAGTAGGGTAATATTATGGCCAAATTAACTACTGGCGGTGGGATTCTGTAAGATGATAAAAATCAGTCAGGTAGGAAAGAAAGATAAGGTAGAATAATACCAAAAAATTAGGTAAATTTATATGTTTGATTAAGTGATCCTTGAAAGTTCAGAAAAGCTAGTATTATGTGGACATCTGGAAAAGCTGTTTCAAAATGTATTTGGAAGTGTCTGGTTAATACACATTTCACTTCTTTGAATTAAGAAAATACGTATTGTGGACATATATTGCTTTGTCTTTTCCTGTTTTTATTAATAGATCCACACCACTTAACCAAAAGGGTGGGCCTAACTCTGAGTGGGGTATTTCACCCTTTTTTGGCTGCAGTGATTGGTGTATGGGTGATTGAGGTGCATCAGCATCCTTTCCCAAGGGTTTTCAAATTAGAGCTTGCAACGAATAATCCCTCTTTTCCTTGACTGCAAAGCTGTGAAAATGTGAGCTCAGACCTGCTTGTGGCAAAAACTCTTTTTACTTAAGAGCATATAGTCTGAAAGAATAAGACAGATACAGGGAGAAGAGAGAGAGAAAGAGTTCCTGAGGATCTTCTATCCTCTTACAAAACAGAAAATTCAAGAGTTGAGTGTTCATTGGACTCTTAAAAGCTCTGCAGCATGACATTTTGCTAAATATCAGAAGCTCAAATTCAATATCCATGGCATCTTAGCCAGCTCTTCCTT